TAAGGCCCCCCCCTTGCGTTGAAAATGGACGCTAAGGCCCCCCCCCCTTGCGTTGGAAAAAGCCGACACAGGGGACTTGACATAACGTCAACATAGGCCGACCTGGGAGTGAGGATGTGTTGAAAAAACATGTCTATGAAGTGTTTTGCTCAAAATACCAAACAGATCACCCATTCTAGCCATGCCTCATATCCCTCTATTTCACTTCCTGTTTCTAAAGTGCTGATTTGGGGATAAAGCTTTAAAGAGGAGGGGTCTGAGCTCATGCGGGACCCGGCAGCTACCGTCTAAACTAAATGCTGCCGTGATGAAACGCCATATCATGGATTATCAAGGATTCTCTCTGAAACAGTTTGGAGCTCAAAGGCTTTCTCTCTTGCCGGTTATACCACAAGGTGAGTTCCTTTTTACTTCCTGCTTCTTCACACACATGCTCTCCAGTACAGGTTAGCTCTGAGTGTTAGCGATGCTAATGTAAACACCGACCATATTACGTCCAAAACAGTCGGGCGTTGTTTCTGATAGCAACGTTTCTGATTGGGCCGTGGGTCCACATTTCAGATATTACGTCATATCGGACGCAAATCTGGATCAGCTCCGTTGTTCCCCGTTTTTTGAGATTTGGGTACGGAGGAAAAGAGAGAGGGTTTTATTTTCTGACGCTGCTGTGAGTTCCCCGACACACCGGGGACACATATTTATGTATAAAAGACATCAACAAGTGCATTTTGCATGATAGGTCCCCTTTGCAACTTTTTTTGTGCATCAAGTCATCTAATTATGTTCAGTCACTCCGACACAAAAATATGTCCAAAATGATTTCGTCAGGAGAGTGATTTTTAGCATGCCAACTTTCTCAGTGGAAGCTAGCTGAAGGGCATTCTGTTAGAATCACAGTAACATCTAGAGGTTGTTTTGTGCATAACATGTCAACCAAATGGTAGAGCTGTTTTTTTCTTCAGTTAAAGGGATAAAGGAAGAGGTCCAACAAATCATATGATAACACGATTTCAAATGTAACGACAAATAAAAGAAAATGTACCTAAAGGTTTTCTTTTCTTTCCAAAGCTAGTACCATATTACATTTTTTTTTAGGAGACTTACAGTAACTATTATTTTTGTACCAATTAAATAGTTCCACATTCGTCTCTATAGGAAATTATTTGGACATTTCAAACATAAAAGTTTAAAAAAAAAAAAGTTAAACATCTGTTCACAAAATATCAGTTTCTGCTCAATTTTTGAAAAGCTTTCTTGATATTTAATATTTTCCTTGCTTTAAATGTTGTATATTTTACAGTACAGCTTTTTTTAATGATATTATTTTAATCAATGTTTAAATATTTAAATGTGCTCTTTAATCTTCAGTTGTTTATTGCTTTCCAGTGTGTTAATGTTGGTCAGATCAAAGAGGGTTGATGTATCTGCTGTTAATCACTGATTGATCTTTGACTGAAGTCAGACTGAGATAACATCCCATCAAACTCACAGGAAACCAAGGGCAGGAACAATCACAAAGACATTTAAAAACACAAATCCATTTTTAATTTGGTTTAAAATGTTAAACACTAAAGATGAATAAGATCAAATGAATCAAATGATTACTTCTGGTGAATTCAGGAGGAATGTTCAGACACTAAATCAGAATACATTTTTTATCCCAGGAAAAATAATGACAGTTGTTTTAAAATAAGATCAAATATTCAATGATAAAATAAAAACATATATTGATAGTATAATCAAAATGTACACCACAACAATATACTGTACATGTATCAATATATTTGTATGATGTATATATATTTTCTAGTTTCACAGAGTTTAAGTTTGGAGTAAATATGTGGAAAGCTCCTGCTTTGATGTGCGGCAGATCAAAGCGGCATTAATGTGCTCTGGTTTCACTGTAATGTATGTATGTATACATCACTGTTCATCAGTGCAGCACAGTGTGGCAGTTCATACTGGAATATTAACTGCTGGCTTTGATCCTTTTTATGTTGTATTTTATCATAAACAAATTAATACGCCCTGCAGATTTTTCCCCCAAATATTTGAAATCATGCTGAAGTCATGACAGGTGATGAAGCTCAGCGCAAATTCTTTCAGGAAGACTGGGGCCGTTTCTCAATCTCGAGGATTCTGGCTTCCAAGCCAATATTTCAAGGATGCTACGTCATTGAGTGCCGCCGAAGGACTGTTCCAATCTCCAGCATACTTGGAATTCCACCGAGGCCGCGTCCTTGGTTTGGGGGAAATGTCGAGGCTGCACATGGGTAGACTTCGCGTCCTTAAAATCCCCACAATGCTTTGCGCACGGACCAATTTCAAAAACCCTTGCGGAGAATGGCTGAACCGACGCAGCACACATTTAAATGTAAGTATGTAGTGGCGTAGAACATGTGTTGGTAAATATGTTACATTTATTATCACCAAAAATGTGTTCCGTGAAAGTAAACAAGTTCATAATTAGATAGACATCGTGAGGTATTTATTTTCGGTACAGTTTATGTTGAAACCGTTAGAGAGAGTGGCACACTTGTTAGCCTGTTCCATTCTTCTTCGTTTTCCGAAGCCGTGGCTTGGAAGCATACTTGCTTCGTTTCTGAAGGAAGTGACATGGAAGTACGCGACTACCAGGCCAGCATCCTCGAGATTGAGAAACACCCCGGGTATACATTCACTCCGCAGCTGCTTATAATCAGCTCATCACAGGCTTTCTGTTAACCTATTACATTTCACCTCATTCTCCAGCAGCCAATCACCGTGCTGCAGCCACACTTTAAAATGGCTCTCCTCTCTCCTGCAGTCAGCTGGGATTTCAGGTGTTCATGCTGCCGCCCGCCTCCTCCTCCTCCTCCCCATCCACCTCCTCCCCATCCACCTCCTCTCCATCCACCTCCTCCCCATCCGCCTCCTCTCCATCCGCCTCCTCCCCATCCGCCTCCTCTCCATCCGCCTCCTCCCCATCCGCCTCCTCCCCATCCGCCTCCTCTCCATCCGCCTCCTCTCCATCCGCCTCCTCTCCATCCGCCTCCTCCCCATCCACCTCCTCCCCATCCACCTCCTCCCCATCCACCTCCTCCCCATCCGCCTCCTCCCCATCCACCTCCTCCCCATCCACCTCCTCTCCATCCACCTCCTCTCATCACATCCAGTGCCAGGAGAGCTAATCCAAAGACCTCATCACACCTCCTCATCAAATCCAGATCTTCAGCATCATCACCAGTGTCTAGACCCCGGGGGGTCCCTCTGCTCAGGATCGGGGTCTAATCGCCAAAGACTTAACATGTATCATATGGGATGTGTCAATAAATGTTCTTTAAACAAAATGAAGTCTCTCCTGATTGAACTGCTGGTTTTAATCATAAACAAATGAACACTTCTGACATAAGACACGCCCTGCAGATTATTCCCCCAAATCATTAAAACCACTGAAGTCATGACAGGTAATGCAAGAAATACAAATGAGACAGTTGGGAGGAAAATATTAAGTTTGTGTTTCAATGCATCAAAGAAAAAGGGTATATTTTTCTTGTATGGATGAACGGGTGAGTTGTGCATTTACTCAATGACTTTAGGGATAAAAACATCCTATAATCAGTGAAATCGAAGAGGAAAAACTCATTAAAACACAATAGTTTGCAATAAATGTAAAAATGTGTCTATGATTTACAACTTGGACATTTAATTGACTTTCTTTGTTATTTTAAAACATAACTGACAAAGACTTGTTCTGTGCTAATAATTAAAAAACCTATTGATGTCTTAGTATTTGAATAAACACCACATTGACGTCCTGATACCTGCAGGATCAATCCTTTGAAGACAGGTGAGTGCTAACAGGTGATTCAGAGATTAAATGAGGTCAAGTGTTTCCTGTTAATCACTTCAGAGTTCAAGAGGTCAAAGAAAGCTCAGATCTCTGGCATCAAACACTGCATTCAGAGTCTCATTATCAAACACACTTCCTTACCTCCATGAACACAGAGAGAACACAAACGTAATATTATAGTACACACAATGACAAGTAAAAAAGGGTAACAAACGCATGCATACAAGACTATATATAAATACACATTAAAATATGCTGACATTAAGGTTTAAGAGAAATGATGTGAAAAGGGAATCCAGATCCTGGGATGTTACAACAACACCAAATACAACCTTTAAACTATAGAAATAAGAATAGAGACTTATCTGGAGGAATAAACAACAATACGAGAACAAAACACAGAATAAGTACAAAAGAAATGTAGTTTGTAAATCAGAAATAAAAGTAAAGGATGGGCTTATGGCAAATGTACTTAAGTAAGGTAAATGTAATTAAACAAATCATCTTAAAATAAGTACACATTAAGGGTAAAGACAGGCTCATGGTTCATCATTAAATAAAAATAGACTTTATAGATCTGAAATCTAAGGCTGAAGGCAAAGTTACTTAAGTAAGGTAAATGTAATTAAACAAATAATCTCACATTAAGTACAAATTAAGGGTGAACACAGACTGATGGTTCATCGTTAAATAAAGTCAAAGAGGTCAAATCAAAGCTCGGATCTCCTCCATCAAACACTGAAGACTCTCATTATCATGAAAGCAGATCTCAGGTCTTTCAAACTATGATACAGAATATAACAATAGAGACTTCAGTGACACATTGTGTTAGGAATAAACCAAAACACACAGAATAAGTACAAGAACTGTAGTTTGTAAATCAGAAATAAAAGTAAAAGATGGGTTTCAGGCAAAGGTACTTAAGGAAGTTATGTTAAAATGAACAAATCATCTTACATTAAGTACACATTAAGGGTGAACACAGACTGATGGTCCATCATTAAAGTCAGAGAGGTCAAATCAAAGCTCAGATCTCCTCTGATCTCCTGCATCAAACACTGACTCCAGACCATTAGCATCTCTCAGGTGTGTGATGGAACTGTTTCTGTTTAAATGATTCAGGAACTCAGAGCAGAGCTCAGATATCTGCAGCTTTTCCAGGTGAACCATGTCCGGAACCAGAGTGTCAGATTTCAGCATCGAGCGCATCCTCTCCCCTCAGCTAGGACTCAAGCCGACAATAAGAGACTTTTCCCCGGATCCCTTCCTCCAGTGGATGACCGGGCAGGAATCCTCTGGGGATATCACATCACCACCGGTATCGATCCCGGTCCAATACCTGGCTCCAGGCTGCATTCAGTACCGAGGAGTCCACTGTGGAGACGCGTTTTACCCGCATGAAGCCGCGTATCATCCCGCAGATTTCAGCAGCTTTTATCCAAACTCCACGGTTCATTTCCACTTCAGCAGCCAGGACCCCGCAGGTAAGAGCACGTCCTGTAATGATACTGTTAACATGAGTGTTCGTTAGTTTAACTTGTATAAGTGGTATCTTAAAGTGAAATAACGACACATGCGCAACAGTTTTCCTCGCTGTTGTTTCTCGCACAACCACAGCTCCTAAAACAAGTTCATAATAAAGTGTTTACTCCAAAATGTCCGCATTTAAAACCCATTAAATCCATAAGTATTTAAGCGTAGCCTATCATTACAACATAACATCGACTTATCAGTAATTTAAAGGGTTACATGTATTACATATAGTAATAGTGATGATAACATGAATCCAAAATACTTTGATCTCGGGGGAAATGATCAAATTGACTGATAATGATAAAATGATTGCTCGTGTATTTCACTTTTATATTGAAGTGGTAACGCAGCCGTTTTTCCAATCTGTTGTTTCGAGTTGTTTTGATTGAAATGCGAATGGCATGCATTCCGGAAAGCGAGTGAGTTCTTTTTAACCACAGCTCCTAAAACAAGTTTATAATAAAGTGTTTAGCCTCCGAAATGTCCGCATTTAAACCCATTAAATCCACAATGCTTATAATAATAAGTTCAGAGGTGATGGATGCGCAGCCGTTTTTCCTCACCGTTGTTTCGAGTTTGTTGGATTTGTGTACGTTTTGGAAAGGGAGTGAGTTTCATTTCAACCACGGCTCCTAAAACAAGTTTTGTAAAGTGTTTCGCCACCGAAATGTCCGCATTTAAACCCATTAAATCCACAATGCTTTAAACTGAATGCCATTACGACATAGCAGGTCGTTTTCTATACGGGTTGAATCTAAAGCCTTTTATCAAATGTCTACTTTCGACTTTTTTTCAACTAGATTGAGACGTTTTCTCTTTTTCTCTGGGACAAAAACACGCTATTTTCATGGATTCTTACAAAACAATTGCCTCTGAACAAATATAGCTGATAGTCTTTGACATATCAGTAATTTAAAGGGTTATCTGTATTAAATATTGTGTACTGAACATCTGAATAAAAAAATACTCGGCGGAAATGATGAAACTTAAAATAAAGAGAGAGAAGTTTAAATGAAACGTGGACATTTCACTACAATCAAACATATGTATTAACCATTTGATCTATTTGTGTTTTTAGCAGATGCTCAGCAGTTCCCAGGCTACCACGGATACCATGGTTACCATCAGAATGGGGTGTCCGCGCAGTCTCAGTCGCGTCAGAAGACCCGGTTGAGGACGGTGTTCACCAACAGTCAGACCAAAAGGCTCGAGGCGCTGCACGAGCACACCGACTATCCGGCGGTGGACGTGCGAGCTGAGGTCGCGAGGAGGACCGGGCTGAGCGAGGAGACTGTCAGGGTGAGTGTGACATCTTCATCATCATCATTTCAGACGAAGAGACAGAATGAATTAAAACCGAATTACCGAGAGGTTTTTATTTTAATTTGACAAATTAGGTTTTTCCTTTTATCTGGAAGTTAATATTTAACGTTGCTATAACAAATGCTGATTAACACATACTACCCATGTGCGTAAAACCTCTCCATGGGGCATTTGTACGCACGGTCTGTAGCAGACTATCGATCATCCAATTTAAAAATAAAAGTAGTTTTGACAGCCAGTTTACAGCTTTTCTCATTTCATAACTTTAATACTTATTTTGTTTATTGAAATTTTACTTTAGCTTATATGATATACAACAGCATGTTTAAGCTTTCAAACAACAATAACATTTAAAGACATTTTTACATGAAAACATAATTTCTAAATGGAACTTGATTTAATGTTTGGATAAATTGCAAAAGAACAACAACATTGATTTGTGTCATTTACACGATGTTTACAGTGTGGCTAGGCAGGTTAAGATTCACTCATTTTATCATTCATTTCTCCAAATTATTTGACAATTTCATGTCATCTTAGTGATGCTAACAAAACAACAACTTTCCTGCTTAGACAATCTGATGTTCTTAATTCTTAGCTTTTGAATAAGACTCAATAGACTAAAAAGATCCTTACATTGTGTGACAAGTAGAGATGTTTTATTTTTGAAAGGTGTTAAGTGAACATGCAGTGAATTATTTCTCTCTTGTGTTTTTCAGGTGTGGTTTAAGAACCGCAGAGCTCGAAGGAGGAGACGGCAGCGCAGCGGGTCAAAGGTCGAATCCCCGTCTCTAGGGAAGGAGAACACGTTCTTCACCTCCTTCCTCTGAACCCTGTACACCTTGTGACTTCCCGATTTTCATTGAGCAAGCGCGAGTTGTTCCTCCATATTGGACCGCTACGTACAGCAACCCAAGTGGGACATTTGACAAAGCGGTGTTTGGCAAAGAAGACAAAAAAAACAACCACATTAATCTTTGTCTTTATTCGGATCCCCATTAGCACGAGCATGAGCATTGGCTATTCTCCCTCCCTCACACACACACAACATACATAACAACATTCTGAACGAGAGAGATGAGTTATTGTTGTAACAACGTCATCTCCCGATTATTTGAGAAGAAGTTCTTTTAGTGGTTTAAGTACATCCTTAGAATAAGTGAGAAATGGATTGAACTTGTTTGACAGCCTTCACACTGGAAGGATAAGAAACTCTAAATGTATGTAATCATTTATGGCATTCATAATTCATATCTAATACTTAACTGTGAATTGTTTTCATTTAAATGTTTCGTCTGGCGTAACTTTTTCTATTGAGATTCCTGGAAAAGGGAAATTACTTTTCATAAAAAAAGTTGATTCAAGAACAAAACTCTGCTATTAGATCAGTACGGACGTGAAATGTCCTGTTTGGCTTGCCGTACATAGCTGTTCAATATAGCTGTTCAATATAGCTGTTCAATATAGCTGTTCAATATAGCTGTTCAATATAGCAGACCAACTCGCGCAGATGTACAAATCGGGTAGTCACATACCTTCCTCCTGAGGTCAGAGATCAAACTCCTCCTGAGGTCAAAGGTCATCTGACTGCAGAGGTTATGAACTGTGATGATGCATTCAGGTGCAGCTGGGGAAATCACCAGATACACCTGAGACTGGATTAAAGAGACGTGTGGGTTAAGATGCAGTTTAGTCTCTCTGGAGTGACTTTTTAAATTATTTTGTATTTTTATTATGTAATTTATTGGAACCTGTGCATGTGTCGGGTTTTACTTGAAAAATAAACAGTTGAAATGAATGTTGTCTTGTTTTGTTTTTTAATAGATTGTATATGTATAGATTATGTTTAAGCAACAACCAGAGCAGTGATTAAGGCTGCAACTAACTCTATTTTTATTATCAATTAATCTGCTGATTATTTTCTAGATTAATAGCTGAGTGGTATTTAAATGGCTTTCTCAAATTCCAAGGTAATCCATCATTTTGAGGCTGAAAACTGTAATTTCTGACTTCTTTGCAAAAAAAATCACATCAACATTTAATGGATTATCAAAATAGTGATTCAATATTCGATAATTCGAGAGACTATTAAAATAAATTGCATACATATCTAAATAGATGGTTAAGAACATTGTGTTTAAATTATACTAAAATGGTAATATCTTCAGTAAAAGTATAAACACTTAAATGACCAAAAGTTAAAGTACTCATGCAGAATGAAATGTTAAAGCTGTAAAAATAAATGCAGTACAGTAACATGCAGAGGTGGAACAAGTACCCAGATCATGTTCTTGAGTAAAAGTAGAAGTACTCAGATCTTGTACTTGAGTAAAAGCAGAAGTACTCAGATCTTGTACTTGAGTAAAAGCAGAAGTACTCAGATCTTGTACTTGAGTAAAAGTTGAAGTACTCAGATCTTGTACTTGAGTAAAAGTAGAAGTACTCAGATCTTGTTCTTGAGTAAAAGTAGAAGTACTCAGATCTTGTACTTGAGTAAAAGTAGAAGGACTCAGATCTTGTACTTGTGTAAAAGTAGAAGTACTCATATCTTGTTCTTGAGTAAAAGTATAAGTACTCAGATCTTGTACTTGTGTAAAATTAGAAGTACTCAGATCTTGTACTTGAGTAAAAGTAGAAGGACTCAGATATTGTACTTGTGTAAAAGTAGAAGTACTCATATCTTGTTCTTGAGTAAAAGTAGAAGTACTCAGATCTTGTACTTGTGTAAAATTAGAAGTACTCAGATCTTGTACTTGAGTAAAAGTAGAAGTACTTTTATCTTGTTCTTGAGTAAAAGTAGAAGTACTCAGATCTTGTACTTGAGTGAAAGTAGAAGTACTCAGATCTTGTTCTTGAGTAAAAGTAAAAGTACTCAGATCTTGTACTTGAGTAAAAGTAGAAGTACTCAGATCATGTACTTGAGTAAAAGTAGAAGTACCAGAGTGTAGGAATACTCTGTTACAGTAAAAGTCCTGCATTCAAAATGTTCCTCAAGTGAAAGTAGAAAAGTATTCTCATCAAAATATAGTGAAAGTAGCGACAGTAAAAGTAGTCGTTGTGCAGATTGGTCCATTTCAGAATAATATATATGATATGTTTTATAATGATTGATCATGAAAGTGTTCTCAAAGCTGGTAAAGGTGCAGCTAGTTTGAATGACTTTGTATACTGCAGGGTAGCTGGTGGATTTACTCCAGGTGGAACTAAAGTCTGATTCAACACTTGATTATATTTCACATCATTCATCTGTGAAGTAACTAAAGGTATTAAACACATGTAGTGGAGGAAAAGTACACCATTTACCTCTGAACTGTAGAGGAGTAGAAGTACTAAGTAGCAGACAATGGAAATACTCAAGTAGAGTACAAGTACCTCACAATTGTAATTAAGAACAGTACTTTAGTAAATGTACTTTCCCCCTCTGGAAATCACATTTAAATATGATTTGATAATAAAAAAATCCACTATAAGTCTTATAACTGATCAAAATAAACGAGTGTTCTGTGAGTAAAAGCAAAGGACACGAGGGGTAGAAAAACAACACCAAATTCTTTATTATATTCATAGAGTTGTCATAGTTATCAAGCATTTTCCATGCTGATGAGAAGAAGATACACATATTGAAAAACCAAAAAGAGAGAATACTGAGAGAGAGTTTCATGCAGTGAGTTTCTGTTAGATTAGAATTCTGTCCGATGCTCCTTCTCTCCTGTTTCGCCCTAACGTCCGTCAGCCTCACACACTTCTAAAACAGGAGTTATTCACACACATGGACTGAGCACAAAGTAAAACACACGCACTACAAAACCAGAGAACCAAAAAGTACACTTAGTGAAGTTATCAAAATATATGCTATATACTCTTATTGATGTTAAAAGAACCCGGGCTGAGTTAGTTTCTATGAGACTGTAACGTTTTATTCTCAGACACATACACCGATCGATTATAGAGGAATTAAGAGGACAAAACCGGCCTTTCTGGATGTTAACTAAAATTACAAATACCTTGTTTCACGTATACGCCACCAGATGGAGGTCAGACAAATATAAACGTGACTTTAATTTGATAGAAGCAAGATTTATAGGTACTTTATTTGTAGTTAAAGAGCTCAGTGGAACCAGCTAAGTCCATTAAATGTAGAAAATGAAATAGACAATATGTAATAAGGGATGTCACAATACCATCAGATTTCGCAGTCGACACCAATACCAGCAGATTTCACGATCCTCGATACCACAGTAAAAAAACAAACAATTTGAAGATGTTTTTTGTTGTTTAGAAAATCATAATTTCCTTTAAATCTTTGTAAATTGCTGAGAAAACCGGGAAAAACCGTTCAAATGTAACGTAAATGTAAAAGTGTAATTCAAATTAAGTTTTACAAGTTGACATTGGAACATATCATAATAAAGTTATGATTTATATTCACGCAATATTCAAGAACTCATCATAAAGTAACGCTATAGTTCACCAGATGCTAACAGCTAAAAGCTAATAGCTAACTGCTGTTAGCTAAAAGCTAACTGATTACGGCTAACTGTTCAACCCAGTCTCACGGCATTTTGTGTTATAGTCACGAAATTAATTTAATCTATTGATTCGTGTTCACCAACACGATTAAAAGCAATGTATTTATATTGGTAGTATGTTTCGTGCCTGCACCACGTCTTTTTGTCCGGCCGGGTCTTGGAATACCAGAAGCTGTGTGGTTCATAAAAACATTTTCTTACTTAATATCTTACCCTAAGCCTAACCCTATTACTTTTATTTTAAATAGTATAATGTCGGAGTATTTTTGCCGTCCGCGAGGAAAATAAATGGCTCAGAGCCTCAGAATACTGAAATCTGTTGTCTGTTTTTCCTTCTAATTATTTACATTGCTTTTAAAATCGTTCTGTGTGACACGAAAAACATGGCGAAATTGTGTTGGTGAACACGAATCAATAGATTAATTTCGTGACTATAACACGAAATGCCGTGAGACTGTGTTGTACTGTTAACAGTTTAAAGCTAACAGCTAACTCCTTACAGCTAACAGCTAACATCTTACAGCTAACAACTAACAGCTTACAGCTAATAGCTTACAGCTAACTCCTTACAGCTAACAGCTAACATCTTACAGCTAACAACTAACAGCTTACAGCTAACTCCTTACAGCCAACAGCTAACAGCTTACTGTTAACAGCTAACAGCTAAAACATTTAGCCGCTAACAGCTAATGTTAACCAGCCGATATCAGATTTGTCGTTCACAATGTAGCATTATCAGCGAAAAACTTTCGATGAAATGAAGGTATGCCAAAAAGTTAGTTGTATTCAGTATTAAATGCAATTGGATATGCCTTATCCTAAAATCAAGAGCCAGGCCTATTCTCAACCTTGCCTGTAATAATGACGAATAACCAGAACGTTTAGCGCCACCATAATAGGCCTCTTTGCATCCACTAAGTATTGATTTTTGTGACATCCCTTTATGTTATAATGAGGAAAGTGTGACATGTTGTGTGTCTTGATAGTGACACTTAAATTGACTTTACGGTACGTTTACTGTACAAAGACCATCACTGTGTCCACTGACGTCTATAATGATCACCTGCAGCTTCAGCAAAACACCTCCCTGACCGTGAGATTATAAAAACACTAAAACGTGGTGTTATTATTATTTCGTTCCTCAGGCTCTTTTGTTCAGGTTCGGATTGGGGAAAGGAGATGAATTTGGGACGGTAAAGCGCTGAGTCGTCTGCGTATAGACTGACTTTAACGATCTTTCAAACACTTTAATGACGGTTTCAGGGAAATGTAAAACAGTGGAGAATAAATCTGACTTCAAATGTGGAACATATTGATATTTTTGGTTATCATTCAATTTAGTTTTCCCAAAAAACTTTAGAAGAATGCAGAAATATATTGAAGAATGTGAACGCATGATATTGCCTGTACGATGGAATAGATGTTCTTCATGTAGGTTTAGATTTAGCTTTGGATGTCCACTTTTAGCTTTATTCGTTTTGTGTTAAACTGTATTTTATTACAAGAAACAGTGAAAAATACCAACAAAAAAGTCTGAATGTGCAGAAAAACAATCGTTAGGTTATTTTTGAACAGCGTGAAAACATTGTTATTTGCAGTCCTGGCAATCAGAGCATGTGTGTTTTTTATTTATTATCTCCGTGTATTTGTGCTTACAGAGTGTAGAGATTAACATCAACACATTTCCACAGACACTGTTTACATGTTGCTGTTTTCAGTTATACTTCGAGAGAGATTTGAACATGAAGCAAACACACTGAGATGAACTTTCTGCACAGATGCTCACGTTCACAAAAGGAAGCAACGTCTTTTTTTCTGAATGAGGATAGAGGGAGGAGAAAAGAGGGATAGAAGCAGAGAGGAAACTTTTTAAAATGTCGTGAAGAGAGTTTATCGAGGGTTCAGATTTCTAGAAATGAAACTGGATGAGATGAAAGGACACTAAACAAATACTAAACTTCATACAGGTGTTTTTAAAGAAGCTTATTTAGTACACGCGAGAGTGATGGCACAAACACATACATATCCAACCTGATCTCACCAGAATGCGTGACTCCACCACGACTCCTCAACACCGCATTGCGTGGTGGAGTCACTGACTTTGCTACATGTACGGCACCACGCAAACAACCCCAATGTAAAGTGAATGAGGTCTTTGTCCAACCTGATCTCACCAGAATGCGTGACACACAATGCACTGTTAATCACCATAATACATTCTGACGAAAAATACAAATGATTATGAATACAAATAAAATAAAGGAAGCCTCCCGTGAGTTTCTACAAGCTATGAAGTAGATTTAAAAAACGTTTTATAGAATAAAAGCTCACTGCAGGACGTTGTAGAAATGCGTGTGTGCACCACGAGGAGCCTCATTCACTCATTCAGTTCGTGACTCCACCACGCAATGCGGTGTTGAGGAGTCGTGGTGGAGTCACGCATGCTGGTGAGATCAGGTTGTGTATATCTGTAGCGGGCGAAAACACTTGATTTTAAATTTGCATCAAAGAACGTTTGGGTTTGAGCTTTTGGTTAACGACAAAATATGATTGCAGCTCGTCTTAAGATTTCAACTCTAACTATTGACTAATTTCTATTGCACAATACACTGATTTATAATTACAGGCCAACGGTACTTCAACTGAATGAGCTAAATGCTTTCTGGAAACAGCACGATGTGTGAACGATACATCAAATGTGACCTGCTGAGAACAACATGTCTGCATCCACGATAATTACAGAGCAGCGTGTTTATAGAGACCAAGAACAACTAATGAAGAACAAAAGATATACAAATCAAGATTAACTGACACTACGATAAATTCAGCAATTGATTAACCCTGTTTTCAGTTTGACATCTGAGATGAAAGCATGCAGGTGAGGAGAGTCACTTCACACACACTTATTACGTTTTTAGGATTGAGATCTAAGTCTCAGACGAGGAAGCAGCAGCGAAGGCAGAAGTAATTTCAAACTGTTTGGAAATTGTCTTAAAGATAACCACTGAAAACAGCCGTTTAATTGGCTAATTGAACGTGTGTCTAATGAGCTTTTGGTTTGGCAAATATAACATTAAAGGTAGAGTGGGTAAGAATGGAGAAACCAGAGCTAGAATCTGAAAGTGCGCAGCCGGAAGAAATCTGCCCCTTCCTTCAGACTTCCTCACAGAGCTCCTCCTCCAACACACACGAACGCGCACATGACCAATGAGGACACGAGATAAGTTTGTGCCCAGATGGAAGTCTGACAGGCAGGTAGGCCATCCAGTTACTTTAGCCGGCTCAGATGATTGGTCGTGCTTTTTACAGAACTACAGCTTCCACAGATGAGATTTTTAATGGATTTTTTGTCAAATCACTTCATGTATTCATTGCTATCGGGACGTTAAGAGCATTCCATGGAATATAGCAAGTGTTTCTGAAGTAAACTACGTACCCCACCTTTAATGCATATATGTGTAAACTGAGACGTTACTCATCTGCATTGGTTTCTCATTTTAAGCGAGAGACCCAAATGGAGCAGCAGCACAAACCATACTTGCCAACCTTGAGACCTCAGAAATCGGGAGCATTTCAAAACCACCGCGGGTCGAGTTGTCGATTCTTGTTCAGTTTTCTGTGACTATCTTCCTCACCCTCTCAGACTTTCAGTTGCGCGCGCTACTAAAGAGACGCGCTACCATGGAAACCAAACAATGGTGTAGCTGTATTAAAGTCCGAGTGGAAACAGTCCTGAGTAAATCTGATTTTGTCAGAAATCCGGAGAAATGCGGGAGAAATATGACCCTGGGAGGAAACCGGGAGAGGGCAATGAAATCGGGAGTCTCCCGCGAAAATCGGGAGGGTTGGCAAGTATGGCACAAACTGATGTTTAAACAAAGACACAACGATGACGTGAGGCCGGATGAAAAGGTGTGTAAAGAGAATATTTTAGGGTTGCTTTAGCTCAGTTTCTTTGAGGGGAACAAAGGACATTTTGATCAGATACAAGGCACTATAGATTTGCTATAGAACGGCTAAATTAGAGGGCTGAGAGAAAAGAGGGTTTCACTACGAGGACTGACGGTGAGGAGAGCAACAAGAACATGGAGAGAGATCGATCGCAGGAAGTTGTTAGGACTGCATCTCAGAGCGAAGCATCCACGGAAACCAACAGCAGAACAGCAACCTGAAGAGGAAGAGGAGGAAGAGGAGGAAGAGGAGGGAGATAACGAGAGGAAGAAGAAAATAAATCAATCTCAATCTTTATTTATTTATATAGCACATTTAAAGGTCCCCTATTATCCTGTTTCTCATCAATATCTCACAGGTCTCAGATATATCCAGAGCCTGTCTCTGATTGGCTGAAACACCAAACAGATCATGGCAGCATTACCCATAATCCCCTCTGTTTCAGCCCTGTTTCCAAAGTGCTGATTCTCTGTCTGTTACTTTAGATGAAAATAAGGAGCCCCTCCCCATGCCCCTCTGAGAGACATTTGGTTACAAAGAACTCTATGGTGCTCTAGAAGGAGATTCAGGTGATAAGAGGGGGGGGGGGGGGGTTACCTTGGTTGCTGATTGGCTAATGGTTACACAAGCCAACACATCGTTATGACATCATCAAGTGGCAAAATCTGATCAGCTCATTTTCAGACAGGTTTTTATAGAAATGGATCAAAAAGAGAGAGAATCTTTGTTCCTGAAACTTTCAGAGTTTCTTTCCACAGAGGGGACACATGTTGATGTAGAAGAGACATGAAGAAGAGGGGACACATGTTGATGTAGAAGAGACATGAAGAAGAGGGGACACATGTTGATGTAGAAGAGACATGAAGAAGAGGGGACACATGTTGATGTAGAAGACACATGAAGAAGAGGGGACACATGTTGATGTAGAAGAGACATGAAGAAGAGGGGACACATGTTGATGTAGAAGAGACATGAAGAAGAGGGGACACATGTTGATGTAGAAGACACATGAAGAAGAGGGGACACATGTTGATGAAGAAGAGACATGAAGAAGAGGGGACACATGTTGATGTAGAAGAGACATGGAGAAGAGGGGACACATGTTGATGTAGAAGAGACATGGAGAAGAGGGGACACATGTTGATGTAGAAGAGACATGAAGAAGAGGGGACACATGTTGATGTAGAAGAGACATGAAGAAGAGGGGACACATGTTGATGTAGAAGAGACATGAAGAAGAGGGGACACATGTTGATGTAGAAGAGACATGAAGAAGAGAGGGGACACATGTTGATGTAGAAGAGACATGAAGAAGAGGGGACACATGTTGATGTAGAAGAGACATGGAGAAGAGGGGACACATGTTGATGTAGAAGAGACATGAAGAAGAGGGGACACATGTTGATGTAGAAGAGACATGAAGAAGAGGGGACACATGTTGATGTAGAAGAGACATGAAGAAGAGGGGACACATGTTGATGTAGAAGAGACATGAAGAAGAGGGGACACATGTTGATGTAGAAGAGACATGAAGAAGAGGGGACACATGTTGATGTAGAAGAGACATGAAGAAGAGGGGACACATGTTGATGTAGAAGAGACATGAAGAAGAGGGGGACACATGTTGATGTAGAAGAGACATGAAGAAGAGGGGACACATGTTGATGTAGAAGAGACATGAAGAAGAGGGGACACATGTTGATGTAGAAGAGACATGAAGAAGAGGGGACACATGTTGATGTAGAAGAGACATGAAGAAGAGGGGACACATGTTGATGTAGAAGAGACATGAAGAAGAGGGGACACATGTTGATGTAGAAGAGACATGAAGAAGAGGGGACACATGTTGATGTAGAAGAGACATGGAGAAGAGGGGACACATGTTGATGTAGAAGAGACATGAAGAAGAGGGGACACATGTTGATGTAGAAGAGACATGAAGAAGAGGGGACACATGTTGATGTAGAAGAGACATGAAGAAGAGGGGACACATGTTGATGTAGAAGAGACATGAAGAAGAGGGGACACATGTTGATGTAGAAGAGACATGAAGAAGAGGGGACACATGTTGATGTAGAAGAGACATGAAGAAGAGGGGACACATGTTGATGTAGAAGAGACATGAAGAAGAGGGGACACATGTTGATGTAGAAGAGACATGAAGGAGTGGATTTTGCATAATAGGTATAAGTCGTATTTCCAGTATTGATACCTGGATATTGAGTTCTCGGAGGTCAGATCTTTAGGATTTCGCATCGTGTTGAAGTTACGCTTCGGCTGCGACACTGCAGGAAACAAACAAACAAATAAATAATAATAATAATCCATTTCATCTATATAGCACACTTTAAAAACAACGTCAGCTAAATGTTATTATAACTGATGGAGGAAATGTTAAACTCGTATTAATGTCGTCAGAAAAGTAGCTGTAGGTGACTGAACTTTAAGAAAATGAAAAAGCACTTACTGGTGACTTGGTGGACTTTCTTCACCGTGGACTTTTCATTCTGTGAGCCTTCTTTGGGACCTCCGATTCTGAAAGAGCAACAAAAGAAACAATCAATTTACTAAAGAATTTGGATCAAGTTCAGGTGTATATCAGTATGTAGTGTCTCTACTTTAAAGAGTCCTCTCCTGCTGATGTTCAGGTGTATATCAGTATGTAGTGTCTCTACTTTAAAGAGTCCTCTCCTAATGATGTTCAGGTGTATATCAGTATGTAGTGTCTCTACTTTAAAGAGTCCTCTCCTGCTGATGTTCAGGTGTATATCAGTATGTAGTGTATCTACTTTAAAGAGTCCTCTCCTGCTGATGTTCAGGTGTATATCAGTATGTAGTGTCTCTACTTTAAAGAGTCCTCTCCTGCTGATGTTCAGGTGTATATCAGTATGTAGTTTCTCTACTTTAAAGAGTCCTCTCCTGCTGATGTTCAGGTGTATATCAGTATGTAGTGTCTCTACTTTAAAGAGTCCTCTCCTGCTGATGTTCAGGTGTATATCAGTATGTAGTGTCTCTACTTTAAAGAGTCTTCTCCTGCTGATGTTCAGGTGTATATCAGTATGTAGTGTCTCTACTTTAAAGAGTCCTCTCCTGCTGATTTTCAGGTGTATATCAGTATGGAGTGTCTCTACTTTAAAGAGTCCTCTCCTGCTGATGTTCAGGTGTATATCAGTATGTAGTGTCTCTACTTTAAAGAGTCCTCTCCTGCTGATGTTCAGGTGTATATCAGTATGTAGTGTCTCTACTTTAAAGAGTCCTCTCCTGCTGATGTTCAGGTGTATATCAGTATGTAGTGTCTCTACTTTAAAGAGTCCTCTCCTGCTGATGTTCAGGTGTATATCAGTATGTAGTGTCTCTACTTTAAAGAGTCCTCTCCTGCTGATGTTCAGGTGTATATCAGTATGTAGTGTCTCTACTTTAAAGAGTCCTCTGCTGCTGATGTTCAGGTGTATATCAGTATGTAGTGTCTCTACTTTAAAGAGTCCTCTCCTGCTGATGTGCAGGTGTATATCAGTATGTAGTGTCTCTACTTTAAAGAGTCCTCTCCTGCTGATGTTCAGGTGTATATCAGTATGTAGTGTCTCTACTTTAAAGAGTCCTCTCCTGCTGATGTTCAGGTGTATATCAGTATGTAGTGTCTCTACTTTAAAGAGTCCTCTCCTGCTGATGTTTCAGGTGTATATCAGTATGTAGTGTCTCTACTTTAAAGAGTCCTCTCCTGCTGATGTTCAGGTGTATATCAGTATGTAGTGTCTCTACTTTAAAGAGTCCTCTCCTGCTGATGTTCAGGTGTATATCAGTATGTAGTGTCTCTACTTTAAAGAGTCCTCTCCTGCTGATGTTCAGGTGTATATCAGTATGTAGTGTCTCTACTTTAAAGAGTCCTCTCCTGCTGATGTTCAGGTGTATATCAGTATGTAGTGTCTCTACTTTAAAGAGTCCTCTCCTGCTGATGTTCATGTGTATATCAGTATGGAGTGTCTCTACTTTAAAGAGTCCTCTCCTGCTGATGTTCAGGTGTATATCAGTATGTAGTGTCTCTACTTTAAAGAGTCCTCTCCTGCTGATGTTCAGGTGTATATCAGTATGTAGTGTCTCTACTTTAAAGAGTCCTCTCCTGCTGATGTTCAGGTGTATATCAGTATGTAGTGTCTCTACTTTAAAGAGTCCTCTTCTGCTGATGTTCAGGTGTATATCAGTATGGAGTGTCTCTACTTTAAAGAGTCCTCTCCTGCTGATGTTCAGGTGTATATCAGTATGTAGTGTCTCTACTTTAAAGAGTCCTCTCCTGCTGATGTTCAGGTGTATATCAGTATGTAGTGTCTCTACTTTAAAGAGTCCTCTGCTGCTGATGTTCAGGTGTATATCAGTATGTAGTGTCTCTACTTTAAAGAGTCCTCTCCTGCTGATGTGCAGGTGTATATCAGTATGTAGTGTCTCTACTTTAAAGAGTCCTCTCCTGCTGATGTTCAGGTGTATATCAGTATGTAGTGTCTCTACTTTAAAGAGTCCTCTCCTGCTGATGTTCAGGTGTATATCAGTATGTAGTGTCTCTACTTTAAAGAGTCCTCTCCTGCTGATGTTCAGGTGTATATCAGTATGTAGTGTCTCTACTTTAAAGAGTCCTCTCCTGCTGATGTTCAGGTGTATATCAGTATGTAGTGTCTCTACTTTAAAGAGTCCTCTCCTGCTGATGTTCAGGTGTATATCAGTATGGAGTGTCTCTACTTTAAAGAGTCCTCTCCTGCTGATGTTCAGGTGTATATCAGTATGTAGTGTCTCTACTTTAAAGAGTCCTCTCCTGCTGATGTTCAGGTGTATATCAGTATGTAGTGTCTCTACTTTAAAGAGTCCTCTGCTGCTGATGTTCAGGTGTATATCAGTATGTAGTGTCTCTACTTTAAAGAGTCCTCTCCTGCTGATGTGCAGGTGTATATCAGTATGTAGTGTCTCTACTTTAAAGAGTCCTCTCCTGCTGATGTTCAGGTGTATATCAGTATGTAGTGTCTCTACTTTAAAGAGTCCTCTCCTGCTGATGTTCAGGTGTATATCAGTATGTAGTGTCTCTACTTTAAAGAGTCCTCTCCTGCTGATGTTCAGGTGTATATCAGTATGTAGTGTCTCTACTTTAAAGAGTCCTCTCCTGCTGATGTTCAGGTGTATATCAGTATGTAGTGTCTCTACTTTAAAGAGTCCTCTCCTGCTGATGTTCAGGTGTATATCAGTATGTAGTGTCTCTACTTTAAAGAGTCCTCTCCTGCTGATGTTCAGGTGTATATCAGTATGTAGTGTCTCTACTTTAAAGAGTCCTCTCCTGCTGATGTTCAGGTGTATATCAGTATGTAGTGTCTCTACTTTAAAGAGTCCTCTCTGCTGATGTTCAGGTGTATATCAGTATGTAGTGTCTCTACTTTAAAGAGTCTTCTCCTGCTGATGTTCAGGTGTATATCAGTATGTAGTGTCTCTACTTTAAAGAGTCCTCTCCTGCTGATCTTCAGGTGTATATTAGTATGTAGTGTCTCTACTTTAAAGAGTCCTCTCCTGCTGATGTTCAGGTGTATATCAGTATGTAGTGTCTCTACTTTAAAGAGTCCTCTCCTGCTGATGTTCAGGTGTATATCAGTATGTAGTGTCTCTACTTTAAAGAGTCCTCTCCTGCTGATGTTCAGGTGTATATCAGTATGTAGTGTCTCTACTTTAAAGAGTCCTCTCCTGCTGATGTTCAGGTGTATATCAGTATGTAGTGTCTCTACTTTAAAGAGTCCTCTCCTGCTGATGTTCAGGTGTATATCAGTATGTAGTGTCTCTACTTTAAAGAGTCCTCTGCTGCTGATGTTCAGGTGTATATCAGTATGTAGTGTCTCTACTTTAAAGAGTCCTCTCCTGCTGATGTGCAGGTGTATATCAGTATGTAGTGTCTCTACTTTAAAGAGTCCTCTCCTGCTGATGTGCAGGTGTATATCAGTATGTAGTGTCTCTACTTTAAAGAGTCCTCTCCTGCTGATGTGCAGGTGTATATCAGTATGTAGTGTCTCTACTTTAAAGAGTCCTCTCCTGCTGATGTTCAGGTGTATATCAGTATGTAGTGTCTCTACTTTAAAGAGTCCTCTCCTGCTGATGTTCAGGTGTATATCAGTATGTAGTGTCTCTACTTTAAAGAGTCCTCTCCTGCTGATGTTCAGGTGTATATCAGTATGTAGTGTCTCTACTTTAAAGAGTCCTCTCCTGCTGATGTTCAGGTGTATATCAGTATGTAGTGTCTCTACTTTAAAGAGTCCTCTCCTGCTGATGTTCAGGTGTATATCAGTATGTAGTGTCTCTACTTTAAAGAGTCCTCTCCTGCTGGTGTTTAGGTGTATATCAGTATGTAGTGTCTCTACTTTAAAGAGTCCTCTCCTGCTGATGTTCAGGTGTATATCAGTATGTAGTGTCTCTACTTTAAAGAGTCCTCTCCTGCTGATGTGCAGGTGTATATCAGTATGTAGTGTCTCTACTTTAAAGAGTCCTCTCCTGCTGATGTTCAGGTGTATATCAGTATGTAGTGTCTCTACTTTAAAGAGTCCTCTCCTGCTGATGTTCAGGTGTATATCAGTATGTAGTGTCTCTACTTTAAAGAGTCCTCTCCTGCTGATGTTCAGGTGTATATCAGTATGTAGTGTCTCTACTTTAAAGAGTCCTCTCCTGCTGATGTTCAGGTGTATATCATTATGTAGTGTCTCTACTTTAAAGAGTCCTCTTCTGCTGATGTTCAGGTGTATATCAGTATGTAGTGTCTCTACTTTAAAGAGTCCTCTCCTGCTGATGTTCAGGTGTATATCAGTATGTAGTGTCTCTACTTTAAAGAGTCTTCTCCTGCTGATGTTCAGGTGTATATTAGTATATAGTGTCTCTACTTTAAAGAGTTATCTCCAGCTGATGTTCAGGTGTATATCAGTATGTAGTGTCTCTACTTTAAAGAGTCCTCTCCTGCTGATGTTCAGGTGTATATCAGTGTCTCTACTTTAAAGAGTCCTCTCCTGCTGATGTTCAGGTGTATATCAGCGTGTAGTGTCTCTACTTTAAAGAGTCCTCTCCTGCTGATGTTCAGGTGTATATCAGCGTGTAGTGTCTCTACTTTAAAGAGTCCTCTCCTGCTGATGTTCAGGTGTATATCAGTATGTAGTGTCTCTACTTTAAAGAGTCCTCTCCTGCTGATGTTCAGGTGTATATCAGTATGTAGTGTCTCTACTTTAAAGAGTCCTCTCCTGCTGATGTTCAGGTGTATATCAGTATGTAGTGTCTCTACTTTAAAGAGTCCTCTCCTGCTGATGTTCAGGTGTATATCAGTATGTAGTGTCTCTACTTTAAAGAGTCCTCTCCTGCTGATGTTCAGGTGTATATCAGTATGTAGTGTCTCTACTTTAAAGAGTCCTCTCCTGCTGATGTCGTGGCGTCTCACCTCTGGACGCGGGATGGTGGAGCAAACACTCCGTATTTCGGCAGGCAGCTGAAGTACCGGACTCCAAAAACCGAGCCGTCGTGTTTTCCTGTCGCCTGATCCAACTCGACACCGAACCAATAACCTGCAGAGAGACGGAGAGAAACTGAGATCTGATCTGAGGAGGAAAAGCTGCTCAGGACTGAAGAAAGAGACTTTTTGGATTAAAGCCTCAGTTAAGTGTCATTAAAAAAACACTTAGCTTCAAGTAAAAGTCCTGCGTTTCCACTGATGTTGCTTTTATATAATATTAGATTATTTTTATTAATGCAGTAACTTATCAAATGCATTTTAACATAGCATAGTAGCATTTTTTTCTGTTTTAGTCCAATTATTGAGGATTTTAAACTCACTCTTTTGAATATAAATGCAAAAACATCTTGTTATCTTAAACAGTGTCTCTATCTCCCAGTGTGCAGGATAAAGCTCAGATTCAGACCTGGAGCGAAGTCTGTTTTCCCGTAGTAACGAACGATGCCGTGTTTCTGCCCGGCAACAAGAACCTGATCCCCCACCTCCACGTTCAGAGCGTCCGGGTCCAGACTGGCCAGCGACGCCTTCTTCTTCTGGGCTGGAAAACACGGCAGAAATCAGGGGATTAGTAGAAGAAGAAGAAGAAGAAGAAGAAGAAGAGGCAACTTTTGGCGCTTTTCCACTGCAGGGCCTCGCACGGTTTAGTATGGTATAGCGAGGCCTTGGTAGGCCAGGCTCACTTTATGCTGCGTTTCCATTACAGTTTAGCAGCTGGGGCAGTAACTATAGTAATGCAGTGTAGGCGGAGCAGTGATGTCATCTTCAATGTGAACCACAAAACCAACATCAGCCGTTAGCTCTTAGCCCTCAGAGCTCACAGCTCCTCATATCTGTCAGAAACTAGACAGAAGTACAAACCACAGACTGCCTGTGTCATGGCGAGTACAGTCGCTGGTTGATTTATGTCTGTATAGGCCGTTGTTGTGAGTGTGGACGGTCGGAGCATATACAACGTTAGCTTAGCCAATCTCCATTTAGAAAACACGCATTTTAAAAAGGTTTTTCGCCTGCCGTCTGTCTGCAGACTTTTCAAAGCATTAATTCATGGTTCTTACTAACCGGTATCAGTATGTTGTTACTTCGGCATAATTTTGAAACGTGTATTACAATTAAATCACGGTCAAATATGTTCATCTTGTTGTAGTTGTAGCCCCCTTGCCAGCGATTCTCTCTCTAGTTTAGCATACTCAGCCCGACTCAGCCTGGTTGTTCCTGGCCCTAGAACCACGATTTTATGGGGCCAGAAAAACTGTGAATTAGGACCCGCTAGCCGGTACTAGGCCAAGTGGAAACCGTGCTACGCGCTGCAGTGGAAATGTGCCATTTGTGTATTTCCTTGTTGGTAATTGGATGCCCATTTTCTTCTCTACCGGCAACCAAATTAAATCTAATATTTAATATTCCATTCCTCACATACTCATGTATATAAAATATCCTGCTTTATATTTTGTTTATGTCAATTTGTAATTCAACGTATATTCAAATGTATATTTGATATTTTATTTTTTTTAATGCTATTTTATTTCTATAGAGATGTTTACATTTTGGATTGTTTATTTCTTTTAATTTTGTATTGTGCGATGCCATGTCTTTTGATGCTGCTGCAACGCAAACATTTCCCAAATTGGGATCAATAAAGTACTTCTTATCTTAACCAGAATTTACTGAAGTAGCTCCAAGTTACACAACCAGTATTAGCACTTTTCGCATTAGACTGGTGAGTATACTGTGAGTACAAACCTACAGAGATGGCAAAAGTACACACATCCTTTACTCAAGTAGAAGTACAGATATTCGTGTTTAAAAGTACTCTGGTAAAAGTGGAAGTACTGACTAAACTTCTTTACTCAAGTCAAAGTAAAGAACTTTGAAATGTACTTCAGTAAAAAGTACCCATAACTAGCAGCTGCTTTAAAGAGTACCTGACCTCCCTTTATATTAATAGAACAATAATGTCATTGTTAGCTAATGAATGTTTCCATGCTGAACAACGGCAACATGACAACGTTTCCATTGGTCCCTCTTCTTTAGAGAAGACCAGGAAATGATGGATACACGGATCGTGTTCAAATCAATAGGCACGCAATGACTCTAAAGAATAATGATCACGCATCAAACACACATTCAGACTAAAGGAACCAGCTGTTTGGAAATGAGAGAAGTAGAAAGTACAGGTATTTGAGTTCAACATGTTGAAGTAGAAAGTACAGGTATTTGAGTTCAACATGTAAGAAGTAGAAAGTACAGGTATTTGAGTTCAACATGTGAGAAGTAGAAAGTACAGGTATTTGAGTTCAACATGTAAGAAGTAGAAAGTACAGGTATTTGAGTTCAACATGTAAGAAGTAGAAAGTACTAGGTATTTGAGTTCAACATGTAGAAGTAGAAAGTACAGGTATTTGTGTTCAACATGTGAGAAGTAGAAAGTACAGGTATTTGTGTTCAACTGTGAGAAGTAGAAAGTACAGGTATTTGAGTTCAACATGTGAGAAGTAGAAAGTACAGGTATTTGAGTTCAACATGTAAGAAGTAGAAAGTACAGGTATTTGAGTTCAACATGTGAGAAGTAGAAAGTACAGGTATTTGAGTTCAACATGTGAGAAGTAGAAAGTACAGGTATTTGTGTTCAACGTGTGAGAAGTAGAAAGTACAGGTATTTGAGTTCAACATGTGAGAAGTAGAAAGTACAGGTATTTGTGTTCAACGTGTGAGAAGTAGAAAGTACAGGTATTTGTGTTCAAAGTGTAAGAAGTCAAAGTTAAAAGTTGTCAGAAAAATAAGTAGTGGAGTAAAGTACTGATACCAGAAACATGTACTTAAGTACAGTAACGAAGTATTTGTACTCTACTACTTCCCACCTCTCAAACTGCCACATTTAGCTAACTTAAATACCTTTCTGCCTCTCTTTGTCCTTCTTCCCTTTCTCCTTCTTGATCTTCCCGGTCAGACGGGAGGTCAGGTCCATGCGGGGGGTCCGGGGCGTCGAGGTGACCGAGGGCGGGACCGGATCCACGGCTTTGGAAATCTTCGACACCGGGGCAAAAATCCCTGCAAGCGGAAAAGATTAGCAAAAAAACAACAAATTCACAAAGTGCAAATGAAGACCACAGAAACATGAATACAATCACAACGTGAGGCAGACATTTAAGGTTAACATAAAAACCAAACACAGAGTCCCGAAAGGAACAAACATAAGAACAGAACACATCACACACATCTCAAGTAGGAACATAAGCCAATGTAAAAAGATGGGTCTTCAGTAGTTTTTTAAAAGCTTCTACAGAGACTGACTGTAGGGAGAATTTCCACAGTGTTGGAGCTCCACCTGAAAGGCACGGCCACCTTTAGTTTGTAGACGAGACCGTGGGACAGCCAGTAGTTCCTGGTCTGAAGACCTAAGGGACCTACTGGCGATGTAAGGATGGAGAAGGTCACATATATACTCCACGCATTTCCACGCAGGGCTCTATGTAATAACCAGAACCTTAAAGTCAATTCTAAAATGGGTGGGGAGCCAATGTAAGGATTTTAAAATTGGTGTAATGTGTGTCATCCTGCTTGAGCTGGTCTTGCAGCAGCATTCATGTTAATCCTATCATCAATCAATCAATCAATCAATCAATCAATCAATCAATCAATCAATCAATCAATGTTTATTTATATAGCCCAATATCACAAATGTTATGAATACGACCCCCTCTGATGTGAGGGTCCAAGGACAGACGGTCGTATTCATATTCTGTAACGATACACGCAATGACTCTAAATAATAATAATCACGCCACCAAACTAAAGGAACCAGCCTGTTTGGAAAATCTAAGAAGTAGAAAGTACAGGTATTTGTGTTCAACATGTAAGAAGTAGAAAGTACAGGTATTTGTGTTCAACATGTGAGAAGTAGAAAGTACAGGTATTTGTGTTCAACATGCAGTGGCGACTGGTCATTAGGGGCAGGTACAGCCCCACCTAGTGTCAGCAGAAAGTATTAAAAATAATGATTACAACAAAATGGAAAAAATAAATTAAAATATATATAAAATATATTTTAAGATCATGTTTAATCATCTGATTCGTCTGTATATTTCTGTTTTAGTCTGTGTTCTTCTAATTAGTGTCTACAGTGTGTGCCTATTGAGCTGTTTAGAGCCATGTGGGACAAAACCCGATCCTGCCCCTCCCTCTCCCTGTCTAAGTGAACGGTGACTGTAAAAACTACACTGTGCATGCTCAGAGTATTTTCCTATTTAATGTGTGGCAAAAAAGTATGACCATAGGGGCATAGAGCTGCCATCCCCACCATACGTCATCTCACATCATTCAGAGCTGATTGGCTGTAAGTACGTGTGCCGCGAAAAGTGTGGTGTGTGAAGAGGAGGAGAGAGAGGTGACGCATCCTAAAACCAGGAAGTAAGCTGCGCATGGCTTTCCTCGACAAAAAAGCAATGATATTTCTCCATAGGATTTTAGAAAATAGCTCAAAATAAGATCTGTGGGAAACGTAGCTGTTAGATAAATGCATGTTTTGTTCGGCCGGATAATATCCACACGTCTACCCTACTTTTATAATTTTCGAATCATAAATCTATCGATTAGATTTATGATAGACTTTTGAAACTACAAGAAGATAGGGAGGACTTTTACAAAAAAGTAATAGAGATTGTTGTCCAGAGGGTTAGGCAAATGGACTTCATCTTCAAGTCAAGGTAAGACTGCAATTTTATTGAAAATGGGATCTTACTAAGAGAGAACAATTCAATATTTAAATGATAAAATTACATTTTTTGGGTATCCTTCTGTTGAACTGTCTGTTTAAAATGAATGCGACGCATCAGACTAAAAAAGCTTTTGAAAATAATATTATATTTTGATTTCGGTCAAAATATAATATTTGTAAACCTGAAGAGTCAGAGCCTCACCAGCCATGAACCTCACTGCAGAAGCTTATAGACATCTAAGTTGTTTGTGCCCCACCACTTTTGTACATATAAAAACGCCACTGTCAACATGTAAGAAGTAGAAAGTACAGGTATTTGTGTTCAACATGTAAGAAGTAGAAAGTACAGGTATTTGTGTTCAACATGTAAGAAGTAGAAAGTACAGGTATTTGAGTTCAACATGTAAGAAGTAGAAAGTACAGGTATTTGTGTTCAACATGTAAGAAGTAGAAAGTACAGGTATTTGTGTTCAACATGTAAGAAGTAGAAAGTACAGGTATTTGTGTTCAACATGTAAGAAGTAGAAAGTACAGGTATTTGAGTTCAACATGTAAGAAGTAGAAAGTACAGGTATTTGTGTTCAACATGTAAGAAGTAGAAAGTACAGGTATTTGAGTTCAACATGTAAGAAGTAGAAAGTACAGGTATTTGTGTTCAACATGTAAGAAGTAGAAAGTAAAAATTGGTCAGAAAAATAAGTGGTGGAGTAAAGTACTGATACTAGAAAATGTACTTAAGTACAGTAACAAAGTATTTGTACTTCACTACTTCCCACCTGTGGTTATTATAGAGCATTGTTAATATCTTTGTTGATCCTATCATCCTGTATGAAGAAGCAGTGGTACCTAGTTTTGGAGGGCAGATGAAGTATCTGACGCCCCCCACGCTGCCGTCGTTCTTCCCCTCCGGCTCGTCCAGCTCCACGCCGACCCACTGACCGCTGGCGAACTCTGTGGTGCCGCAGAACCTCAGAGTGCCCAGCCTGAGAGACACAAACACCTGAGTTAGGATGGAAACAAGAGGAACACCGTCCCTGCTGTTTAAAGGTCACCTATTCTGCAAAATCCTCTTCTTCATGTCTCTTCTACATCAACATGTGTCCCTTCTTCTTCATGTCTCTTCTACATCAACATGTGTCCCCTCTTCTTCATGTCTCTTCTACATCAACATGTGTCCCCTCTTCTTCATGTCTCTTCTACATCAACATGTGTCCCATTTCTCATGTCTCTTCTAACATCAACATGTGTCCCCTTCTTCTTCTTCATGTCTCTCCTACATCAACATGTGTCCCCCTCTTCTTCATGTCTCTTCTACATCAACATGTGTCCCCTCTTCTTCATGTCTCTTCTACATCAACAGTGTTCCCCTCTTCTTCATGTCTCTTCTACATCAACATGTGTCCCCTCTTCTTAATGTCTCTTCTACATCAACATGTGTACCCCTCTTCTTCATGTCTCTTCTACATCAACATGTGTCCCCTCTTCTTCATGTCTCTCTTCTACATCAACATGTGTCCCTTCTTCTTCATGTCTCTCCTACATCAACACGTGTCCCCTCTTCTTCATGTCTCTTCTACATCAACATGTGTCCCCTCTTCTCCATGTCTCTTCTACATCAACATGTGTCCCCTCTTCTTCATGTCTCTTCTACATCAACATGTTTCCCCTCTTCTTCATGTCTCTTCTACATCAACATGTGTCCCCTCTTCTTCATGTCTCCTCTACATCAACATGTGTCCCCTCTTCTTCATGTCTCTTCCACATCAACATGTGTCCCCTCTTCTTCATGTCTCTTCTTCATCAACATGTGTCCCCTCTTCTTCATGTCTCTTCTACATCAACATGTGTCCCCTCTTCTTCATGTCTCTTCTACATCAACATGTGTCCCCTCTTCTTCATGTCTCTTCTACATCAACATGTGTCCCCTCTTCTTCACGTCTCTTCTACATCAACATGTGTCCCCTCTTCCTCATGTCTCTTCCGTAAAAATAGGGGACCCTTTAAAGATCTCCTATCATGCTATTTTTAGGCATATATTATAGGTCTCAGATCTATTCAAATATATAAAAAACATGTCTATGAAGTTTTGCTCAAAATACAAAACTGATCACCCATTCCAGCCTCATATCCATCTGCCATGTTACTAAAGTGCTGATTCTGGGTCCGTGGCTTAAAAAAGTTACAGGTTAGCTCGGAGTGTTAGCGATGCTTGCTAATGTAAACAAAGACCATATTACGTCCAAAATTGTTTCTGATAGCATCGCGTCTGATTGGGCCGTGGGTCCACATTTCAGATATTACGTTATATCGAACGCACATCTGGATCAGCTCCGTTGTTCCCCCGTTTTTAGAGATTTGGGTACGGAGGAAAAGAGAGAGGGTTTTTTTTCACTTTGTGAGTCTCCCGACGCACCGGGGACACAAATTAATGTATAAAAGACATCAACAAGTGCATTTTGCATGATAGGAGCCCTTAAAATGAGTCAGTCAGTGAGTTAGACTTTGTTTCTTCCCCGGTTTGACCGACCTGTCGGAGGTTTTTCGCCGGGCTGTCGTCTCTGCTCAGGTCTCTCTGGAGCTACACAGTGAGGACATAAAGAGCTTAGACAGGGGGGTGGAGGACAAACAGCCATCACACTAAACAACCCCCACTTTACTCTCTCCTGCAGGAAGGGAACACCAGCAACCATAGAGCGGTGCAGTGCGTCCTAAAACCAGGAGGTGAGTCAGCATTTCTCCACTTCCTGTTCCCTCGTCTCAGAGCCAATGGGATCTCTCCATAGGGTTTAGGAAAGTAGCTGAACTAAGGTCTGTGGTTGAGACACATTGAAGACACGGATCACGTTTTGTTCTACGACATTAAATCATCAGCAGTGACCCCACTGGTGATTTCTGAAGAGTTGACGTGTCTGAAAAAACGATGGTTGTTACCAAGTGGCTGAATAGGACTACAGAAGTCGTGGAGGACGTTGAACGTCATTACACCGAACACGTGAACACTCCTCTAAGTTAGTTTCTGTTCTGCTTGAAAGCAAGTCCCTGCCTCCTGCAAAGTGTTCAAACCAACGCTTCAACTCGTTCCATTTAGAGTCTGTGAGTTTGAATATGGATCTGAAGTTGGAGTGACGTTGAAGTCGTGCTGCTGGACTCGCTGTAGCTCCTTTATAGCATCACGTTAGCATTTAGCTTCTGGACATTAGATTTATGATTAGAACATTATAAAAGTAGACATGTGGAGATTATCCGGCTGAACAAAACGTGCATTCATCAAACAGGTTCGTTTTCCACAGACATTATTTTTTACAATATTCCAAATCCTATGGAGAAATCCCGTTGCTTTTTGTCGAGGGAACCGGCAGCTTCCTTCCTGGTCGGCCTACAAAAATCCATCATCCCTGCTCCGCTCTATTGGCGTCATTAACACTGTTTGTCACCTCCACCACTTTGCATGTGGATCATTTGTGTAACGTGTTCTGAAAACACTATGAAAGCATGTGCGATCTGGAGGGCTGTTCACACGTTCTGGGTGTATTTCTGGTAACCCAAGTGGTGCGATTCGGACCTGTGAAGAGAGAATAGTAAAGAAAATGTTGCTCCCGATTAACAGCAACGTAGCAGAGTTACAATAGCGCAAAAAAGTCAAAAAGTATTCTGAGTATATGTTTTGTTCGCTTAACGCATTAGTGTTGTTTTGTATCTGTACCCCACCACTCATGGATCTTTTTTCTTCAGGATATTTATTTAACCCGATGTACATGACATTCAAACTGAACTTACACATTGAACGATTTCAACTATGGCTCAGCTGAAAGCAACAATATGAAGGTTAAATAAAAAGTATGAATATATTTTAGGTTCAACTTGATTGTTAATTAAAACCTAGAACAGTTATGTGACATTTTTCGACATAATACATTTATTTAAAGTCAACGTTTCAGTTTATTCAGTGTATTTGTATGTCATTGGGAACGGGTTGTTTCCTTCTTGTTTTTCTTAACATACCAGTGACACATTATTTCCTTTATCTGTTTAAACCATTAGTTATTACACTGGATACATATCTTAATGAGGTTGATTTAAGATAAGAGAAGAAGTACTTTATTGATCCCAATTTGGGAAATGTTTGCTTTAGAGTGACTTTTAGATTACTTTGTGATACTCATAGTTTTAATCGTTTTGATTTGTATATCTTCGGGAACTGGTTGTCTCTTCCTATTTTTACTTTAAAATACCAGCTTCCCTTTCGTCTCTCCTCTCAGTAAAATACATGTTGAGCACAGACCTAATATCCTGTGTTCCTCAGTGACCTCTGACCTCCACCTAACTTGACAATCTTTCCTTAATGAGGTTGATTTAGAGCAGGGGGGCCACATCATTTCTGTTCTGGCCACCAGGGGGCCGCAGATTCACTTGGAACACACACACACACACACACACACACACACACACACACACACACACACACACACACACACACACACACACACACACACACACACACACATTGCATGTATTGTATGTAATTATTAACACATATACTAAGTCTGACATCTTCATTGACATGTTACAATCTCTCAGGGAGCATCCTCTAATAAGCTCACTAAACAAATACCAGTTCACAGAAATGTTAGCAAGTGGCATGTTTGTGTTGAACAGGTTATTTAACAGTGGAATAAAACTATTTAAACTTTTGGAAAGCACGGAAAATGTGTGTGCATTGAGATTAACCATTAAGATGACATAAGCATGAAGTCATGAACACTAACCCAGACATTAGTTGTCTATCTTGAACCTAAGACACTTGTAGCCTCTGCTGACGCACAATGAGAGGAGTGTCTACACAGACACCTGTCAGCTCTCTGCTGTTCCTCAGCGCCACCCCCCCCTCCCTCCCGCACTCTGTTGTTCCTCAGCGCCGCTCCCCCTCCCTCCCGCTGACATTATGAATGAAAAGCGTGTAGTAATCATAGATAACACAGCAGGGTCCGTGACAGTTTGTTTTCATCTGATTTCAAATAAACAAAGTCTTGGTTTTTAGAATATTAAACTAATGCAGAAGATAAATGCAACTTTTAAGCTTGTAAAGGCATAATTACAAGCTGTGACTG